TCATTTCCGAGTTAAGGAACGCTTTTTGGACTAAATCTGACTACTTCAGACTTTTTCTGACTATTTCTGGGAGACAAGGAACGCGCATATTATTGAATCATGGGGCACAGCCATCGTAGTTAATTATGGCTCGCGATATTCGCAGAATTTAAAAGAGCAATATATTGAATGCAATTACTAGCTTTTGATTGAAATCAGCGAGATGCGCGCTACAGAACATAAATAATGGACAAATAACCTATATAATTAGTGAAGCAATCACCCGCAAATACAGAGAGGAGACTGAAATTCAGCAGCAAACACTTTTACGATGGCAATCGCCCTACATTTCGTACTTTTTATTTTATACTGTAAACTTTTTTATTTCAGTTATAAGCTGCATTTATTTCAAAAATTCAATATTACTTTCGAATAATGCTTTACACATCTTTTTTCTTGGAATCCCGTTTTTGATTGATAGAGCTGCGAAGAAATGCTGCAAGCAAAATTTCACATCGTTTTTTTTTGGCAAATAGCTCAAACTACAACAGACTCTACCACAGCTGTAATAATATTACCAACGAAAGTAAAATGCAGGATATTGCATTCCGAACAAAACGTGTCGATAGCAGTACAAAGCAAGCACGCAGTAATTCCAGCAATAACATCAATGAAGATCTTAGGGCCAATTTCACAGTGCCTTAGGACCAATTTCTCAGTGCGTAGTTAACCCAGAATAGGCCGTTAACTAGAGATTTTCAGTACAAAACTCTGTAGTTAACTGCCGCACTGTGAAATGGGCCCATAGAATTAGAAGTAAAACATACTACTTGAAATGAAAAATAAATCCACATCAGCGCCATCAGTCAGACCAGTTATTGCAGTTTGATATTTTGCACGATTTGGTTTTTGTTTTTTACTTCTAAGTGGTTGATTTCTGACTAGTCGACCGCAGCTTTTGTTTGCTGATGTTTTTTTTTCTCCTCTGTTTTGCTCTCTGCCTTTTATACGCCAGGCTACCCTGGCGAATAAATTTCTAAATTTCATTCCGTTTTTTTTTTCTTTTTTTAACAACAGCTATTTCTTAAACACCATTGTACTTTGGCTGCACTTCATTGTTTGCTAGAGTTTAATGGAATAAGTGAAAAATGCAATTTTAGTCTTCTATTCATATTTCGTAGTTTCTTAAACGAGTCACATCTAGCAGGACACTATGAACTGAAATATTATACATATGCCTGTCCTTCGTTAGCAAAGAAAGTGTTAATTGTATGCCACTGCAATCGGAGAAACTACGATGTTCCCGACGAAAAATTATTAATGTCGAAAATGTATGTATGAAATAGCTTTCGGCTCATCATATATGACAACAACCGACCCTATTCCGTTTCCTTCCTTTATTCTAACTGAATAACTCAGTGAGAGGGGAGACCAGTATGTTTGCATGTATGTATATAAAAAAAATGTTTATTGGACCAAAAAGTAGTGGGTAGGCACTGTGGCCAATGGTAATCAACTATTACCACCTCCGCATGGTTGTAAGCCATGCAGAGTCCGCAGAATGCTCCGGAAGCAGTGTCCGGAGGATGCATCCGACTAGGCAGAGCATACTTTGAACTGCCATCAAATTATAACTTAAGACAGTTTTATTACATGGCAGTTGAGAAGTGCATGTACATAAATTTCATTAATTTAATGAAGGAAACTTTTGCACATGCAGCAGTACATAGCAAGCATTTAGGCGCCTGGTGTTAGCAGTCGCGTCTAAACACTAACTAACGTTAACGTTGAAAATAGTTAATTGTAAATGAGAAAGCGTGAAATGAAAATGGGAAATCATCATTTGGAAATGAGAATATTTAGTTGTAACTAAGGAAGTGGCAGTTGAAGATGGCAAAGTCCATATTTTCGCTTTATTGAAGGTATGGTTTTTTTGGTTTTTAAATCATATATTAAGCTCTGCACATAGGGGTGCGAACATAACCACAGTAAGGCATGCCTGTCGTTGAAGTGACTTAAAATCCTTTTGGTGGGAGTGTCCCGAATCGGAGTGCCCCGCCTCGAGAAGTAGGTGGATGAGGGGAAAAATATCCAATGAAATACCAACCAAACCTGACGGTTTGGGACAAAACTGTAATCATGGTGATAGTACAACGAAAAAATTGTGTTGCACACAATTGTGGTAATGCATCAGAACTTGCGGCAGGGGCATGGATACTGTAGGCCACAACCATCTTTAAAGACTCTTGTGTCAACCAATCCACTGTTCTTCAGTGTAGGACGCGACCAATTGCTTCCAAAGGTTATGCGTCGGGAAGCAGCTTGCTGTTAACGCTCCACCGGTGTCGGAAAGTGTCAGCCGCAATGCCTCCTCGGCGAAGGGAGGGCTATCAAGAGTACTTCCGCTTTCGGGGGTCATAGAATGGCGGTCGCTTATGGAAATGTCCAATTCCGCTCTTGTGTAAACTTTTCCAAGGCAGCGGTAGACGGAGGTGGCATCAGCAAGACCGATATCTGGAGCTACAGTATCCCTCCGCTCACTGCCTTAATAGGGAGGGCGTTTGCAATTCGGCAGATGACCGCTGAAGAAATAGTATAACACTGCAACGGCCATCTGATCCGAAGCGTCATTGCCTCCGGAATTGTGGCGCATGCCAGAGGATATGAAGAGAGGGATGGAACGATTGTAGTTAAATGCCTCTCTCAAGCGAACTGAGATTGGCTCAAGGCTGCGGCGTAGCGAATCACACGTGCAAGGGGAACAAGCTTCACTGTTTGTAGTGAAGGGACTACTCCTCTCAGCAAAGCACCTGACAGCTTTCCAGATCAAGATCTTAAATCGACGGACACGCTTTTCTTGGGGATTGAAACCAAAAACTGGCGTTCTCATCTCACAAAAAGGGTAGCAACTGAGAAGGCAGGGAAGTGTTACTCTGGTTATGAAATGGACCAGAGCTCTGACATGCGATGCGATGAAATATCGATCAGATAAAAATGGGTGGAAACAGAATAGTATTGCTGACACTTCCCGGAAAGGTGGCGGATCTTTTGGAGCACTGCCAGCACCGAAACTTTAGATCGGTCCTTTGCTTCTATGCTACTGCCCAAAATGAAATCTGGGACAGCAGCAAATGCAACGCAAAAGGAGATCGGCTTTTCGAGTTCATCTTTCTAACTCTTGGGTTGGTTAATTCCAAGCTGAAGAATTCTCGGCGAAAATTTGTTTACGGAACACAGGTATATTTAATTTCATCTTGGCCAGGATGCTATCTGTTCTGCGCCTATGCGAAATTTTAAAAGAGCAGATTGCTATGTTTTATGGATGAGTGCTCGACTGCTGCGCAACCAAGGATATGTTCCACTCAGGCTACTGGTGAGGCGGCTGTTAATTTAATGGGTGCGCTACGTGCCAGTTGGATAAGACTTGTCCGTCTCGTCCACCTATTAACCGTACTATAGTTCACTGTTGGAACAAAGAGCTTCATAAGCTGAGGTGTGATTCGAGAAAACTTCTTAACTGGGCTCACAAAACAAACAGTTGGATGGACTGGGAACGCTGCCGCTGCACTCAAAGACAGGACAAGAGTTTCCTTCAAAGAGTACTGCAGTGGCATTGAAGCCTTGGATTACATGGAAAGGTTGGTAAAACCACTGGCTAGCTTCGCGTCGGGGCTTGAGGCCAACTCTGTTCTCACTTATCTGGGAATTAGGTAATGGTTACATGGGAGAAGCACTGTTTCCAGATACAACTCGTTGTTGCTAGAACTGTGGCGAGTGAATAAGCCATTATATATGCTTTTGGATCCTTTGGCAACTTCAAATCGCCCGGTCCGGATGGTATCAGACGTTTTGTACTTAAAGCATTTGTTGAGCTTCTGTTGGCAATCTTGGAAGACATGTTTACTGCGCGGCTAGCAATTGCTATATAAATATACTTGATACCTTATATACTTGAGTTCGAATTTTAAAAATTTTTCAACATTAATATTATATCCTGAACAGAGAGCTTGCAATAATATAGCATATCTTTCCACCTCCTATCTAGGCCTGTTTCTTCAGCGCACAAAAAATTCCCTGGCAGCGTTTCCATATATTCGATGTTCCACACCCACCACTTTTTGGCTTGCCGACTATCAATACAATTTTTAATCAAAATTACGTTCGATTACTTTTTCCTTTCTAACCACTGGGCACTTCCTTCGAGGGATCTAATTTGAAAGACTTGTACATATAGTTTGTATGACAAGTGCAAGAAATATTCAAAAAATCTTATATATGCATGAAGAGGTGACAATCCGAATTCAACTCCTCTGAACTGCTCTTTGCATGCATTACTCAATATTGTTAATTTCTGTAGTAGTCGTGGGTAACACAGAGTAGCGCCGCGGCATTGCGCTGATACCGAGAGGTGAGTTACGGATAAGAACACACAAAAAAAAATGTCACTTGTAAAATGTACAGCAATAAGCCAAATGATC